GAGAGTGAAACAAATTTCTATTTCAGTTTCTACCTTTATATAATAATTTACGATCGCGTTTAAAAGTAGTTTAAAATAGTTTACGTTTGTAAATTTCCTTTCAAAAGATATCAAGAAATCATTACGAATTATTATTTTGGTATCTTTCCACGTAGAAGAATAGTAAGTCGACGATAGTACTAAAAAAAGATTCGGTGATCATTATCGGTTCACCTACCCTGATATTATCTATGAGTGTTTGCTCCTCTAGACAGAAATATAATAGAGTTGACCGCAATTTACCGGGTTTTCGTGCCAACTATTATATATATATATATAATATAAGTCCACTCAAAAGTGTTGGATGCAGTTGTCTAATAATTTCGCAGATGCATTTGCTCAGATTCACGAGATTTAGTTCGTGTGAACTTTGCATGGATGCGTCCCAATATGCCTAATTTGTAGTCGGTGCACGTTAGAAAAAGTCTATTTACACATGTACCGCATTGTATAAACGAGCACGTCTCCAAAGGACCGTTAAACACGGTGAAAATTTTATGAGGAAAGCACTTGATCGTATAATGGGTCAACCAGCGAACACCGCTTTTACAACCAGTTCGCATGTCTTTTCTTTTCCATCTGTACATCTGATGTATTCGATGATAGTTACCTGACGTCTAACGATTGACACGGTTGATCACGGCATTCGATTAATCGCTTGAAATAAATTATTTTCACCGTCGCGAAATATAAAATACAAGTATATTACAATATATTGAACGGTGAATTTACGAATTTAAGGTCAATCGTTATGAAAATAATTCTTTATCTTTTCTTGTGTTAGTGAAATAACGTTTACCAACGTGATTGTGCATGATTTTTTGAAATGTTTCTAAGTTCAAGAGGACAGTAAAGATTTGGTGTTGACCATACAAGACACGTAAGCATTGTTCATCGATCACGAAAATTCATGACATGGCTTATATGAACGTCCGTACACTGCATAAATGTAATATATATATATATATATATATATATATATATATATATATATATAT